AAAAAGAAAAAACAAGGGCAGATTGAAACCATTAAATTTCTCATTCTTCTTCGAACTCCACCTCCACTGTGCCTCTCACGTGCAAGGCTTGCCACGTTGATGAAGTTGAGCGCGAGCTGCCCCCATCCCCGTATGCCATAACAACCCACTTACACGCTGTGAGAGAGGCAGAGTGAAGGGGAAGGTGTTAAACACAGGGAAAAGCTCAATATATATATATATATATATATATATATATATATTGTGCGCACCTGGCGCATATGCGGCTCCGCAGCGCGCACCCCCCAGCGCACCAGCCCTGTGCGCAGCGCATCGTGCATCGCGCACCGCGCACCCAGGTGCGCGCGCACCTCGGGTCCGCGCGCTGCGCAGCGCACAGGGTCGATGCGCCGTAAGTATGGTCCTGAACAAACAGGTATTGGACACAGTTTTCAAGACTGAGTTAGGGTCATGCCTGCTCGATGAAAAGTCATGTCTGCTCGATGAAAAGTCATGTCTGTTCGGTAATAAGTCAAAGGCCACAGTCCCAGTCCAATCATAATCCCCGAGTCAGTCCTGATTCAGACCAGGAGTCCAAAAGACAGGCCCGATGGCCCAAAGCAGCAACAGACCATGGGAAAGGATACTGGGACACACACTTTGCAACAACTGGTACTGGGCAGGAGTCCCAGACACTTGGAGGCCAAGTTCAGACCTCGCCAGTCCAGTCCAACACTATAAAGGGCTGGCCAGCCTCCTCATTCGGCAGATGCTCATCTCACATGAAAGTGTGGAAGTGTCGTGGCACTTGTGCGCTAGATGTGTGTGAGCAGCGCTGGGTTGAAGAGCAGCGCGATGTGTGAAGGAAGAAGTGAGCGCTGGTTGGACAGAAGGCAGCCATAGCTGCGCCAGCGCCAGTTAGTACTTCAGTAAGGATAGCCAGTAGGAGAGTTCAGTGATATAAGGAGACTTGTAACTCTGTTCGGCGCTATACATTTTGGACTCACGAATTTCCTCTCTTAATCTGGTTATGATAATTGAGTTGTGTTTCCTGGCTTCCACTCAAATCTTGTGATATAGCCTAGTGTAACTCTTGCATTTCACTCACACACTAGTAGGAGATGTGTTCCGATTCTTTCATGAATGATCTCATGCTCATTACTTGTGATTTGGACTAGTGTGGATCTTGCATTTCACTCACACACTAGTAGGAGATGTTCCGATTCTTTCATGAATGATCTCATGCTCATTTCTTGTGATATAACCTAGTGTAACTCTTGCATTTCACTCACACACTAGTAGGTGATGCTCCGATTCTTTCATGGATGATCTCATGCTCATTACTTGTGATTTGGATTAGTGTAGATCTTGCTTTTCACTCACACACTAGTAGGAGGTGTTCCGATTCTTCTATGGAGGATCTCATGTTCAATCCTTGTGATTTGGGCTACTTCAACTCTTGCTTTTCACTCCCATGCTAGTAGGTGATACCCCGATTCTTCAACGGATGATCTCATTGCAAGGAACATGAGTATGGACGAAGCACAGAAATCCAGAATGCAAAATCACACTAAAGACCAAGTATTCAAAGCCAAAGCAGATAGCACATGGAACCGAGTAACCATCCCATTGAGAATGATACAGAAGAATCGTGAGTCAATGTCCATGCCCAACAGGGCAACACCAACAGCATAACCCAAATGTAGCTCTCTCTTGTGAATGATGCCAGGCACCCTATCTACTCTACAGCCTATCCTACAACTACAGCAATGAACAGCAACCAGACAACTTGACTACCAGCGAGTGATGATGTCAACACCAATGCAGACCTCCACCATCACCAGGTACGTGTCCTCTTGCCCACACTCTCCCTTGTTACCCACACAGTGCCCTTCACCTCCGAAGTACCACCTTTGCCCTGCACCCCTCTGCGCCCTCTGCAGCCCGACTATGGCCGCCAAGCGCCCAGTGCACAGGCAGCGCCCTACCACCTTGCGCATGCCTGCCTTGCACTACCTCTTAGCGCAGCGCAGCAGCCAGCAGCTCGTATTTGCGCAACGTGCCGGCACTGCCCGCAATGGCCAAGATCCCTGCTGCCTCGCCCTGCTTGCCTATGTGCCAGTGCAGCGTGTGGGCGGGCTCACTTCAGCCTGTGACCGGGGCCCAAAGGCTGAAGCCAACTCGATACAGTTGGGCCCCGGGGCAATGCAGTTGCGCCTCCTTCATCAAGGCCTGCGGCCAGATTCAGACAGTGGGCCGATTTCCCTTTGGCATTTTCGGCCTCTCTACCCAGCATGCATTGTTGGCCTCACGTTCGAGTGCCCAGGGCCTAACTAACTCAGAGGCCCTGGGCATTTCAGCATTTGCTGAAATCCGAGACTCGGTGCACTCCAACCAAATGGCGTGCTGCAACTGTATAAACCCCACTTCGTGAAATGTTGGCACAGAGGGCTCTTGTTGATTTGCTGGCCCGCCTTCACTTAGGGCGGGCACTAGGCTTGCTGGGGCCTTAGCCCAGAACATGTACATCACGGCAAGGCCCCTACTTGAGGGCTCAATCCTCACATTCCATCCGCCTTAGCTTCGAAAGTCCGCTGAGATGCTTACTTCGCAGGTGCCTTCCCCTTTAGCTTCCGTTCATAATCTACCACCACCTGAGGAGCTGTTTCCATCAGTTCCTCCCGGGTAAAGCACCGATCTTCTTTAGGATCCGTATGATGCCTGAATCTGATCCGGTACTCCCTCTTGGGTTTAGGAGGTCTTCCTCGACCCAGCGGCTTCGGAACAGGCATATCCCTGTGATCCACAATGTCATCGATGTCGACTTGTCCATCCATGGTTGGGGGCAACATCGATCTCCTCGAAGGGAATTGATCACTCTCAGCGGAAGGTGCACGCTTTGAGGCATGAAAGACTGGGTGAGTGCGTAGATGACCAGGGACACGAATGACGTACGTAGGACCATCCATTTCATCTCCCACTACATCCAAGACTTCCCAGGGACCGAAGTACTGGGGCATTAGTTTGCGAGATATTCTGAATTCACGTCCTAACTCACTAGCCTTGACCCAGACACGTTCCCCTACCTGAAATGTGGACTGCCTGCGATGTTGATTCTCAGAAGCAATCATGGCTTGCTGAGCCTTCTTCATATGTTCAACAGCCTCTTGCAGCAACTTCTCATATTCCACACCGTATTCAAGTGTGCCTGGAGTTGCAACAGGTCGGTTTTCAGGTAGGAGGAAGTCTAATGTTGATCTAGGCTTCCATCCTAAGTGCAGCTGGTTAGGACTAGCGCCGGTACTGCTATGTATAGCATTGTTGTACAGGTTGGCGATGAGAGGTAACTACTCATCCCAGTCATCCTGGCTGGGCTTGATGCAATGCCTCAGCAAGTGCTGTACAACTCTATTCATCTGTTCAGCTTGTCCGTTGGCTTCGGGATGATTCCCTGAAGTCATTTGAAGTTGACTGCCCATCTGTTCCGCAGTCTTCTTCCACAGCTCACTTGTCAATCGGACGTCTCGGTCACTAATGATAGTCTTTGGTAAACCAAAGTCCCTTACCCAGTTGTCCTTGAACAACTTGATGACGTATTTTGTCCTGGCTGTCTCTGGCATTGGTATTAGTCTAGCGTACTTGGTGAATCCGTCAATGATGACGAAGATGTGCCTCTTACCACTCTTGGTGGTCACAAGACTGTCCATGAAATCCATGGAAACACTCAATCCTGAACCATCAGGAATAGGTAACGGCTTCAATAACCCAAGCGGTGCTTGAGTTCGCGGCTTGTCCCGTTGACAGACCTGACAGGTCTCAACATACTTCTTCGCGTCATCTAACATTCTGGGCTACCAAAATCGCTGTATTAAGCCAATATGGCATTGGCGCGTCATCTAACATTCTGGGCATTAGCACTCGTCTTCTCGTAGCCAAAGTGCACAGTTGCGTCATGACATTCTCCTTAAAATAAAGTACGCAACTGTTCATTAGATGGAACTACCAATCTCTTTACTCCGGCCTTATCAAGATAGATTAGCCCATCCACCATCACAAACTCACTTTTTGTGGCCTTGTCTTTTGCCTGAAGTTTGCGGATGATGTCCATCGTGACAGGGTCTTCCTGATAGGCTCCCACCAATGATTGAGTTACTTCATTAGATACGCCAAATTCAGAAACTAGCGCACCTAGGTAGTCTGCTCTACGGGATAGCGCGTCTGCAACCTTGTTATACTCTCCCTTCAGGTACTCAAGCTTGAAGTCATATTGGTCTATGACCTCAATCCATCGCTTGAGTGCATCAGAAAGAGCCGGTTGAGTCTTGATCCATTTGAGGGTCTGATGACCAGTCCTCAGATAGAAGAACCTTCCTAGAAGGAAGTGTCTCCAATGGACAAGTGCCTTGTAGAGAGCATAGAGTTCCCTTTCGTAGGTGGACTTAGCCAACTTCTTCGATGGCATCTTCTTACTCATGTACTCAATCGGTCTCAACTTTTTCCCATCCTGCTGAGCCAGCACTGCGCCAATGCCATATTGGCTTGCGTCAGTGGTCACTATGAATGGCTTTTGCGGATCGGGAACCATGAGAACTTCATGATTCATGAGTGCATGCTTCAATCTCTTGAAAGCACCCTCGCACTCATCACTCCAGTCCCACGGTGTGTCAAGTCGAGTTAGATCAGTCAAAGGAGAGGCGACTATAGAATAGTTCTTGACGAAGTTCCTAGAGTAGCCGCACATTCCTAATAATGATCTGACCTCAGTGACTGTCTGAGGTCGTGGCCAATCTCGAATACTAGCCACCTTCGCATCTTCCGGCCTAATCCCCTGCGCGGATACTTCATGACCCAAGTGTAGTATCTTAGTGCGGCCAAACTCGCACTTCTCTAAGTTGACCCTATACTTGTGTTGTCGCAGGAGTGAGAGAACTGTCTCAACATGCTGTGCGTGCTCCTCGACAAACTTACTAAAGATCAGAATATCGTCTAAGTAGACCACGACAAACTTATCTAAATGGTCATGGAAGATCCGATTCATAGCGTGCTGGAACGTATCCGGCGCATTACAAAGACCGAAAGGCATCACTACAAACTCATACAGACCATATCTAGTCTCAAAAGTTGTCTTATGTTGGTCCTCGGGTCTTATTGCGATCTGGTGATATCCGGATTTCAAGTCTATCTTTGTATAGTACTTGCATCCCTGCACCCTATCCAATAGGTCGTCTATGCGAGGTAGAGGCTCTGCGTTTTTCACCGTGATGGCATTGAGGCCCCTATAATCAATGCACATCCTCAAAGTACCCCCCTTCTTTGGTACGAATAGCACAGGTGATCCGTAAGGGGAAGTACTAGGCCGAATCCATCCCTTCTCTGTCAGCTCCTTAAGTTGCTTCCGAAGTTCATCTAACTCGGCAGGGGCCATCCTATAGATCCTTCCCTTTGGGGTCTTACTCCCTGGAATGATTTCTATAGCGTGGACGACTTCCCTATCAACAACTCCTGAGGGCTCCTCGAACAGATCGGGGAACTTAGCAACGACGATTTCTATCTCTGGGGGTGTTTTAACGACCTCCCCCTTCTCAGAGACGTAAACGAGGTACATACCTTCCTCTTGGTTTTGCTTGTAATAGTTATAGAATGCTGATGCACGCAAGCAGCCATAGGTATCTACAATACCTGTCTCTTATACACATCTAGATGTGTATAAGAGACAGGAGCATAGTGTGGTCTGGATGAGTCTGCGGGGTGACTAAGGGGTCATTAGCCTTGGCCTTCTCATGAAGTGGGGAGGGTATCAATCCCACTTCATCTTGAGTGGTTGTTACTTCCATTGGCCCTACGCGTTTCCCGAGCTAGAAGCCTAGGAATAAGTTGCCCCCACTTTTGGCGCAACCTTTTGCGCAACCTTAGCGTTCTGACACTTCCACTGCGTGTGTCCGTACTCTCCGCAGTTGATACAAGCGCCACGCATTCGGCGATCACGCCACACGTCTTGATTAAGACCTGCCTTTACCCACTCAGACTGTTTGGTCTGATTGGAGGCGGCCTTCCCTTGACCCCTGGGCTGGCCCTTCCCTCGGCCTGCCGCCTTAGTCTTAGCTACCGCAGCGAGGGTGCTACCCTCAGCTACGTCCTCGCCGTCATACTCTGAGTAGTCCATAAGGTGAGAGAGCTCATCGATTTCAGTTTGAGTCCCATCAGACTCAACCATCATCAACTTCGCCCCCTTCTTCTTCCACTCCTGAGGATTCTTCTTCTTTTTTGAGTCAGTCTGTGAAGTGGGTTGAGCATTGCCTAGCGTGGCCTCTAAGTCTAAGGCTTTCCTAGACAATGTCTCATACGAGTGGTACTCGGTGCGTGCCTCACTAGCTCGTAAGTTCCTCATGTTCTCTAGGAGACATCTGACAAACGTAGTCAATAGGAACTGGTCGCTGTAGTTGATACCTGGGACGAGGATCAGGCTCTCAACGGTAGTCGTAAGCTCTCTAACGTATCAAGTCTGGCTGCTCTACTTTTTATCTCTTTTTCTCTATCGGTTGCTTTCTTCAGATCCTCCTCTAACTGCTGGCGGAGCCTCTCGACCTGCTGGATCTCTCTGAGCTCCCTCTCACGTGGGGTCAACAGGCTGAACTGCGAGCCCGCCATTTGACCAGAAGACTGTCTAGACCCTGTTGAACCGGAAGTGCTTGAGGAACTCATGGAACTCAGTGGCATTCCCAACCAAGTCCCACTAGTCCCTGACGAGGACGCAAACGATGACGCAGCAGAGTTGGTACCGTTAGCCATTGTTGCTGCTCTGGCGGCTGTTGCCCGCTCTCTTGCTACTCTATTTGCTTCCTGTAGTCCTGCTGCTAGAGCACCCGCTCTACGTTCGGCACGAAGCCGTCTTTCTTCTCCCTCGTCCAAGGTCCTGAACACGTGCGGAACCCTTAATGCTTCCGAACGTGTAAGTCTCCTATTGTCAGCCCTATCATCAACAGGATCTGATCCACCCATTAGTTAGGCAGATAGTTTCTGCACCAGAATCCCCTAGTGGAATCCTACCACAGCATGTATCTGACCGACACCTAATTTTCTATCAATAGTTGTGTCCGGCGAGTATCCCACTATACCGAATCACGTGGCATGTCTACAACATTCACACAGATTGTCTACATAGTCTAGATGCACCCTGAATGGTTCACTTACAGCAGCATTAGTTAGAACTGTCTATGGTAGCATACTACAGTCCTACACTAATTCTGTCTCTGAGGTTAGCAGTCCGTCAACCAACTAATCAAAGGTACAAAAAGACAATGTAGCAGACATATGACTGATGGGTATGGTTGTGTACACAGTTGAGCACCAATTAGAACCTACCCTCCCCTCCATCCAACATACCGAACAGCATCATTGAGCGAGCAGTGTCTTCGTGTGTGAATCGGCCCACCCCTGTGCCCAAGTTCTCACCGAGCAAGCCAGCCCAACCACTCTTATTTACCCTCGTACGGCGACGAGCCTTCCTGTCCATGTGATCTAGGTGATCGGGAGGAATTTATAGAGCGCCCCCATCTCTTCAGGAATTATTTAACGTCGCAATCAGGATGACGACCACAGCCAGATTCACAATGAACTCCCAACCAAAAATATTTATAGACCGTCTGGTAAGCGTCTGTCATGGGCTGGCACACCCGGAGCAACTTCTATTTGGCGCAGCAAAGTGCCTTAATGGACAGCAGCCATCACATGCGTGACCTACTCCCATTGGGTTGGCATGGTGACTGTGACCCAGTGCTTCGACCAGGGCCCTTCAGAGGCACCGCCCTTTCTCCTTCCAGTATGCTTCCAGGAAGACTGTCGTCTCTCAAGGTAGCACGATCAAGACACCTCACCAAAAGAGAGGACTCTCAAGTTGGACTCACTTCCTCACGGTAAGAAGAGATTGAGAGAGTAGATAAGGTAAGGGAACAACGTACCTGGAGATAGTTGCCCCCAACCATAGATTTCTCACCAATTGAGCTGATGTTGCATTTGATTACCGGTCATGACCTCGGTACCACCCACAACGCAATGCAGTGCCACCTTAGTCCAATGTCACATCAGCATGCTCTCATCATCAATCAAACATTCCGCTGTAACCCATGGCAAACAATGCCGTAATAGCCTTCTGGTGCACCCCTCACTACCCAGGGCGTGCACCTATAGTGGCCTGACGTCACAAGTACCCACTGCGAAGAAGCATCATCAACGCACCAAGTTTGTACAACGCCAGCGTGCCAAAGGTAAGTGGCGATCAAACCTTGCTCCGATACCAAATTGCAAGGAACATGAGTATGGACGAAGCACAGAAATCCAGAATGCAAAATCACACTAAAGTCCAAGTATTCAAAGCCAAAGCAGATAGCACATGGAACCGAGTAACCATCCCATTGAGAATGATACAGAAGAATCGTGAGTCAATGTCCATGCCCAACAGGGCAACACCAACAGCATAACCCAAATGTAGTAACCATCCCATTGAGAATGATACAGAAGAATCGTGAGTCAATGTCCATGCCCAACAGGGCAACACCAACAGCATAACCCAAATGTAGCTCTCTCTTGTGAATGATGCCAGGCACCCTATCTACTCTACAGCCTATCCTACAACTACAGCAATGAACAGCAACCAGACAACTTGACTACCAGCGAGTGATGATGTCAACACCAATGCAGACCTCCACCATCACCAGGTACGTGTCCTCTTGCCCACACTCTCCCTTGTTACCCACACAGTGCCCTTCACCTCCGAAGTACCACCTTTGCCCTGCACCCCTCTGCGCCCTCTGCAGCCCGACTATGGCCGCCAAGCGCCCAGTGCACAGGCAGCGCCCTACCACCTTGCGCATGCCTGCCTTGCACTACCTCTTAGCGCAGCGCAGCAGCCAGCAGCTCGTATTTGCGCAACGTGCCGGCACTGCCCGCAATGGCCAAGATCCCTGCTGCCTCGCCCTGCTTGCCTATGTGCCAGTGCAGCGTGTGGGCGGGCTCACTTCAGCCTGTGACCGGGGCCCAAAGGCTGAAGCCAACTCGATACAGTTGGGCCCCGGGGCAATGCAGTTGCGCCTCCTTCATCAAGGCCTGCGGCCAGATTCAGACAGTGGGCCGATT